AGAACCACATTGTTATGAACCACAAGAACCACAGTGTTATGAACCACAAGAACCACAGTGTTATGAACCAAAAACAGATGAACCACAGCGTTTTTTGAACCACAAGAACCACAGTGTTATGAACCACAAGAACCACAGTGTTATGAACCACAAGAACCACATTGTTATGAACCACAAGAACCACATTGTTATGAACCACAAGAACCACAGTGTTATGAACCACAAGAACCACAGTGTTATGAACCACAAGAACCACAGTGTTATGAACCACAAGAACCACAGTGTTATGAACCACAAGAACCACAGTGTTATGAACCACAAGAACCACAGTGTTATGAACCACAAGAACCACTCATATAATTTTATTTGAGGTCAGGGCAGACAATCTTGTTACTTAGGAATTTCCAGCTTTAATCATTGTTGAGTGTTCTGTCTTGAGTGGTGAGATGTACTTTGTACAAGTGTTTATCTGACCACCATGTACGTGATTGAGAGGCAGTTTACGTGAGTATCTGACCACCATGTACGTGATTGAGAGGCAGTTTACGTGAGTATCTGACCACCATGTACGTGATTGAGAGGCAGTTTACGTGAGTATCTGACCACCATGTACGTGATTGAGAGGCAGTTTACGTGAGTATCTGACCACCATGTACGTGATTGAGAGGCAGTTTACGTGAGTATCTGACCACCATGTACGTGATTGAGAGGCAGTTTACGTGAGTATCTGACCACCATGTACGTGACTGAGAGGCAGTTTACGTGAGTATCTGACCACCATGTACGTGACTGAGAGCCAGTTTACGTGAGTATCTGACCACCATGTACGTGATTGAGAGGCAGTTTACGTGAGTATCTGACCACCATGTACGTGATTGAGAGCCAGTTTACGTGAGTATCTGACCACCATGTACGTGATTGAGAGCCAGTTTACGTGAGTATCTGACCACCATGTACGTGATTGAGAGCCAGTTTACGTGAGTATCTGACCACCATGTACGTGATTGAGAGCCAGTTTACGTGAGTATCTGACCACCATGTACGTGATTGAGAGGCAGTTTACGTGAGTATCTGACCACCATGTACGTGATTGAGAGCCAGTTTACGTGAGTATCTGACCACCATGTACGTGATTGAGAGGCAGTTTACGTGAGTATCTGACCACCATGTACGTGACTGAGAGGCAGTTTACGTGAGTATCTGACCACCATGTACGTGATTGAGAGGCAGTTTACGTGAGTATCTGACCACCATGTACGTGATTGAGAGGCAGTTTACGTGAGTATCTGACCACCATGTACGTGATTGAGAGGCAGTTTACGTGAGTATCTGACCACCATGTACGTGACTGAGAGGCAGTTTACGTGAGTATCTGACCACCATGTACGTGATTGAGAGGCAGTTTACGTGAGTATCTGACCACCATGTACGTGATTGAGAGGCAGTTTACGTGAGTATCTGACCACCATGTACGTGATTGAGAGGCAGTTTGCATTAGTATGTGACCACCATATACGTGATTGAGAGACAGTTTACATATCTGACCATGTACATGATTGAGAGGCAGTTTACGTATCTTAGCACCATGTACGTGACTGAGAGGCAGTTTATATTAATATCTGACCACCATGTACATGACTGAGAGACAGTTTACATATCTGACCATGTACGTAATTGAGAGATAGTTTACGTATCTGACCACCATGTACGTGATTGAGAGACAGTTTATGTATTTGACCACCATGTACGTGATTGAGAGACAGTTTATGTATCTGACCACCATGTACGTGACTGAGAGACAGTTTACGTATCTGACCACCATGTACGTGACTGAGAGACAGTTTACGTATCTGACCACCATGTACGTGACTGAGAGACAGTTTACGTATCTGACCACCATGTACGTGATTGAGAGGCAGTTTACGTAACTAACCACCATGTACGTGATTGAGAGGCAGTTTACGTGGGTATCTGACCACCATGTACGTAGATGAACACAAACACAAGACACAAGACTTGTCGGTCAACACCTTCACGAGGTCCCGGAGCTGGAACTCAACCCGGTTAGATTCTGGTAAAATGTATCAGAGAGAAGGAAACCTGGCTGGCTACGTCCGTAGAGTTTTACACTTCTACATTATACAGATAATAATGATTGTGAGAGGTCTCGTATCTCCTATCTCTTATCTCTCATATCTGTCATATGTCCTATCTCTCATGCCTCTTATCTCTCATATCTTCTATCATATCTCTTATCTCGCATATTCCCTATCTCTCGTATCTCCCATCTCTTGTATCTCCTATCTCTCATATCGCCTATCTCTTGTATCTCCTGTCTCTTGTATCTCCTGTCTCTCGTATCTCCTATCTCTCATGTATCTTATCTCTCATATAAGAATATAAGAGCATAAGAAAGAAGGAACACTGCAACAGGCCTACTGACCCATGCGAAGCAGGTACATGCCACCCCCGGCCTAGAACAATGACCACCTAGTCAGGTCACTTCCACTTAAGGAAGGAGCACGGCACCAGACCTGGTAGCCCAAGCTAGTCAGGTCCAACTCACACCCACACCCACTCATATATTTATTCAACCTATTTTCAAAACTACACAGCGTCTTAGCTTCTATGGCGGTACTCGGGAGTTTGTTCCACTCATCCACAACTCTATTACCAAACCAGTGCTTTCCTATATCCTTCCTGAATCTGAATTTTTCCACCTTGAAACCATTGCTGCGAGTCCTGTCTTGGCAGGATACTTTCAGCACGCTATTTACATCCCCTTTATTTATTCCCGTTTTCCATTAATACACCTCAATCATATCCCCCTAATTCAACGGCTTTCTAGAGAGTGCAGATTCAGGGCCCTCAGTCTATCCTCATAGGGAAGATTTCTGATACATGGGATCAACTTTGTCATCCTCCTCTGTACGTTTTCCAGTGTATTTATATCCATTCTGTAATACGGTGACCAGAACTGTGCAGCATAATCTAAATGAGGCCTAACCAAGGATATTTAGAGTTGAAGAACAACCTGAGGACTTCTATTATTTATACTTCTTGATATGAAGCCAAGGATTCTGTTCACTTTATTGCGAACACTTATGCACTGTTGTCTTGGTTTCAGATTACTGCTAACCAGAACTCCTAAATCCTTTTCGCAATCAGTAATATTAAGATCTACATTATTTAGTTTATATGTGGCATGGTTATTTTCTTGTCCAATATTTAGCACTTTGCATTGGTCTATATTAACTGCAACTGCCACTTCTCTGACCACTGCATCAGTCTATTCATATCATCCTGGAGTGCTCTAGTGTCCTCATTAGAATGAATTGGATGGCCTATTTTGGTGTCATCAGCAAATTTGCTTATGTCTATTTATTCCCTCATGTATATCATTTATGTAAATTGTGAACAACAACGGGCCCAACACTGACCCCTGTGGAACACCGCTTGTGACGTGCCATCATTCTGATTTCTACCCATTTATGCAAACTCTTTGCTGCCTATTTGTCAACCACGCCTCTACCCAGGAAAAAATTTCTCCTCCTATTCCGTGGGCCTAAAGTTACCTCAAAGGTTTCTGATGTGGAACTCTATCAAAAGCCTTACTGAAGTCCATATACACAATATCATATTCATTACCATGATCTACCTCCTCAAACACCTTAGTGAAAAAAGTCAGTAAATTCGTAAGACAGGAACGCCCCTTTGTAAAACCGTGTTGAGATTCATTTATCAATTTACGCCTACCAAGATGGCTACGAATTGCCTAGGCAATTATTGATTCCATAAATTTTCCCACTATGGAGATAAGGCTTATTGGTCTATAGTTCGAAGCTAAGGACCTGTCACCTGCCTTGTAAATAGGTATTACATTTGCCATTTTCCTAATATCAGGCACTATCGTTTATCATATCTCTTATCTCTCATATCCCCTATCTCTCGTATCTCCCATCTCTTGCATCTCCTATCTCTCGTATCTCCCATCTCTTGCATCTCCTATCTCTTGTATCTCCTATCTCTTCTATCTCTTATCTCTTGAATCTCCTGTCTCTTGTATCTCCTATCTCTCATGTCTCTTATCTATCATATCTCTTATCTCTCATATCTTCTATCATATCTCTTATCTCTCATATCTTCTATCATATCTCTTATCTCTCATATCTTCTATCATATCTCTTATCTCTCATATCCCCTATCTCTCGTATCTCCCATCCCTTGTATTTCCTATCTCTCATATCTCCCATCTCTTGTATCTCCTATCTCTCACATCTCCTATCTCTTCTATATCTTATCTCTTGTATCTCCTATCTCTCATATCTTCTATCTCTCATATCTCCCATCTCTCATATCTAATATCTTCTATCTGCCATAACTTCTACATCTCCTATCTCTTTTAGCTTCTATCTCTCCTATCTCCTATCTCTTATATCTCCTATTTCTCCTATCATCTATTTCTCATATCTTCTATCTCTCATATATCCTATCTCTCAAATCTCTTATCTCTCATCTGTCTTATATAACGGACACCACTAGAGTGAGCATAATGTGCCCTCGTGTACCTGTTTCTCGCCTCTCCAACAATCTGTCCCTGCCCACCCTAACATTTCCCGTTAGTATTATGTACGTTGTTATCATATCACCCCTGGTCCTCCTTTCTTATAATATCATCAACTTTAACTTACCCTAGTGTTGTCAGACTTACCCTAATGTTGTCAGACTTACCCTAATGTTGTCATACTTACCCTAGTGTTGTCAGTCTTACCCTAGTGTTGCCAGACTTACCGTAATGTTGTCAGACTTACCCTAATGTTGTCAGACTTACCCTAATGTTGTCATACCCTAATGTTGTCAGACTTACCCTAATGTTGTCAGACTTACCCTTGTGTTGTCAGACTTACCCTAGTATTGTCAGACTTACCCTAGTGTTGTCAGACTTACCCTAATGTTGTGAGACTTTCCCTAGTGTTGTCAACTAGTGTTGTCAGACTTACCCTAGTGTCATCAGACTTGCCCATGCAGCAGAAGAGCAGACGGCAGCGGTGGTCCCAGCTGTCCTGGTAGGCTCGTAACACCTTCCTGAAACACATACACGATTTCAAAAGTTATTAATACGGTGGGAGAAGAGAGAATAGGGAGGGAGAGAGACTGGGCAAGAAGAGAGAGAGAGAGAGAGAGAGAGAGAGAGAGAGAGAGAGAGAGAGAGAGAGAGAGAGAGAGAGAGAGAGAGAGAGAGAGAGAGAGAGAGAGAGAGAGAGAGAGAGAGAGAGAGAAAGAGAGAACAGAGCAAGACGTCTCATCTTTCGCCTGGACCCATCCAGGATAGATCTGTCATTTCAGCAGAGCCTTCAACACAGGAAGGATGTGGGTGGCCTTACTGTTACGTACAAGGCCAATATTGTCAACGTACCACACTTGGATCCAATTCGAGGACAGCGTGAAGCAAGCTTCTATACCACAAGACGGGCAGAAAGCAGGAACTTCACTCTGGCTGTACCCTTCTCCAGAACTTCACTTCATCTGAGATCATTTATTCCCAGGATGACTCGAGTATGGAACACATTCGTACACCATTATGATGTCAACGAGATAAAGTCAGTTGATCAGATGAAAATGCTGGCCCACAGATGGCTCCAACTTCATCCTGTTCCCTACTTGTATGTCTCATAACAATAAAAATGCTTTCAAATGAGCTGATGTAGGTAACAGCTCTTAGCTTGTCAATAAAGCTAGAGATCCTTAACCTAACTTTGTCAAACCCTGTGTAAAATCAATCAATCAATCAATCAAGTTTATTCTATATAAGGATTACAATGTGGGGTTTACAGATTTTGGTTATTGTGTGGTTTACATGTTATAAAATACTAATTACAGAGGGGGCCACTAGGACACCTAGCATGGCTAGGCATTTCGGGCAGACTTAGATTAATTCTTAACTCTAAATTAATACAGATTATGGAGTAAGTTGGTATTAAGGCTAAGTGACTACATTATAGTTTGTGAGTTTAGCAATGTAAATGCTTTTGTTTTAGCACAATACATAGTTTCTATATTGTAGTATCACAGGCAAACTTATGACTAGTTAGGATTCATTATTTTATGATTAAGATTTGTATTTCTGTGTTTATAGTCAAGTGGGTGAGAGAGTGTAAGTGTGAACCACCAGGTGGTTTTCATGTAGTTAGTTGACGGTGTGTATCAGGGAGATAAGATGTTTTCTAACTGTAGTTATGAAAGTGATGAATGTGTCTGCAGTTTTAGAATTTTCAGGTAGGGTGTTCCAGATTTTAGGGCCTTTGACATACATTGAATTTTTGTAAAGGTTCAGTCGGACACGGGGAATGTCATAGAGATGTTTGTGTCTGGTGTTATGCCTGTGGGTTCTGTCACAACTATCAAGAAAGCGTTTTAGGTCAAGGTTAATATTGGAATTTAAGGTCCTGTAGATGTAGATTGTACAGTAGTAAGTGTGGATGTACTGAACGGGGAGTAAGTTTAGATCTATGAAGAGTGGGGGGGAAGGGGTTTGCCAGGGATGGGATTTAGTGATTATTCTTACTGCAGCTTTTTGTAGGGTTATTGGCTTTAGGTGTGTTGCTGCAGTTGATCCCCAAGCACAAATAGCATAGGTGAGGTATGGATAAATGAGTGAATGGTATAGTGTGAGAAGGGCAGTTTGCGGCATGTAGTATCGTATCTCGGAGAGGATTCCAACCGTTTTGGATACTTTTTTTGTTATGTGTTGGATATGGGTACTGAAATTCAGGTTGTTGTCGAGGTATAGGCCTAGGAATTTGTTCTCATTATGTCTGGCAATTAGAGTGTTGTCGATCTTAATGTTAAGTTGCGCAACACCTGCTCTGCTACCAAACATAATATAATAGGTTTTGTCAGTGTTAAGTGTAAGTTTATTGGCTGTCATCCAAGTCGATATTTTGAGGAGCTCCTCGTTAACAATGGTGTTGAGGGTGGCAAGATTAGGGTGGGAGATGACATAAGTCGTGTCGTCAGCGAAGAGAATGGGTTTCAGGTGTTGGGATACGTTTGGAAGATCACTGATGTAAATGAGGAAGAGCAGGGGACCAAGGGCACTTCCCTGCTGAACTCTGGTATCAAGTGGCCGTGCTGATGAGGCTGTGTCTTTAATGGTGACATACTGATACCTATTTGTAAGGTAGGATTTAAAATATGTAAGCGCATGGCCTCTTATACCATAATGGTCAAGTTTGTGGAGTAGGATGCCGTGGTCTACTGTGTCAAAAGCTTTTCTTAGGTCAATAAAAATTCCTAGTGGATATTCGTTCTTTTCCAGTGCTGTGTAAAGCAGATCTAGCATTTGTACAATTGCATCATTAGTGCTTTTATTTTTCCTGAATCCAAATTGGCAGGGGTTGAGTATGTTTTGTGCCGTTATAAATGAATATAGTCTCCCTTGCACGAGTTTCTCGAAGATTTTGGATAGCAATGGTAAGTTTGATATTGGCCTATAGTTGTTTACATCTGTAGGGTCACCACCTTTATGTATTGGTGTAACCCTTGCTGTCTTGAGTAGTGTTGGGAAGGCGCTAGTTTCTAGTAACTTGTTAAAAAGTAATGTAATAGCGTGCGAAAGGACATGGGCCGCTCGCTTGTACAATAATAGTGGGGCGTGAGACAGATTCCCTGAGCTATTTTTAAGTGACTTTATAATCGCAGTGACTTCCGTGGGCTCAATTAGTACAAGATAGAAGGAATTTGGGAAGAGAGAGAGAGAGAGAGAGAGAGAGAGAGAGAGAGAGAGAGAGAGAGAGAGAGAGAGAGAGAGAGAGAGAGAGAGAGAGAGAGAGAGAGAGAGAGAGAGAGAGATTGGGGTGAGAGAGGAAAGGAGTATTAAATTTTCACGAAACATCAACAAGAATATGTGATAACCAATAAACTAGAAATGATGACCAGGATATTGGAATTTTACCAGGGTAACATCGTCTCCCGGAGAGAGAGAGAGAGAGAGAGAGAGAGAGAGAGAGAGAGAGAGAGAGAGAGAGAGAGAGAGAGAGAGAGAGAGAGAGAGAGAGAGAGAATTCAGAAATCTTTAAAAGCACTCCATCATTATTTAATTAAAAAAAATAATAATAATGGCTGCACTTCATTCAACTTTCTCACATTTCATTTTAGTCCTGGACTTAATTCCCATCAGCCTCCGTGATGCCTTGAAATATGACCAGCCAGGATTAAGAATCTTACATCCTGGAAGACGTGGAAAAGTACGAGTTAGAAGCTAGAATATGAGGTGGGTGTGCTGAGGTCTTACGTGCCTCATGCACAGTGCAGACATAATACTCCTTACCTACCTGGAGGGTGTCTCGGGGGATCAACGCCCCCGCGGGCCGGTCCTAGACCAGACACTCTTAGTTTGTACAGTATCTTTTGAAATCCAGGAAAATTCAGACTGGCAACAGGAAAAACAATGCTTTAGAGTTTGAATATTAAATGAATATAAAGGCTGGTTACAGCAGCGTTCTGAAGACAACCTTGAAGACAAAACAAAAAAATATGTACAGAAAGAACATTTATTGCGGCAGTGTTTCACTCTACTCTGATCGAAAAGTGCACTACATCAAGCGAAACATTGTCATACTGAAAAGTTGCTCTCTACCTGTGTCATTTCTTCATAAAAACGAAGTATACAAGTTTGCAGTCAGTCGGTATATCATATACACAAGTTCTGAGATCTTGAATATGACATGTATGCAGATATTAGGATTTTAGGAAAATGAACGCATAATAACCTCGCCACTTTATATTATTATTGATTTTTATTAAGTCTGAACTATACTGACATTCACTGAAGCAATCTGTGGACAAGGAGTTACATTAAACATTGAAAGTCATCTTACCCAGAAGACTGGTCAGATACGTGTTCATCTTGACCACACACACTCAAACAAGTATACACTGATCAAGATATATATTTATTAAGGAGACGTTTCGGCACGAATGGCGTCTTCAGTCCTAATGCAGAGATGCTAAGACGATGAGTGTATACACTGTGTGAGTGTATACACTGTATGAGTGTATACACTGCATGAGTGTATTCACTACATGAGGTCAGGTGAACGTAGGTTCAAAGTAGACTAAGATATTAAACTTGACATCTAGGATAATCTCAAATAATGTTGGAAAAAGGTAAATATAACTGAGGGTGGAAGACCTCCTGCGGTAATGTTTCACTGATACACAATACCGACAAGTTGATGAATTAAACATTCACAATATCTAGGTATTTATATTTTGTATAAAAAGATGTTTCGCCACCCAATGGTTTTATTAGTACAATACAAGGACAATACAAGGACAATATAAGGACAATACAAGGACATAAACAGAAGACAGTAGAAGAGGAGGCAATCAGCTCCTCCGCCTGGAAGCAAGTGTTGAGTACCATATCTTGATGAATCTGAAGCACAGACAGGAAGATGGGCGCTTATATACTGGAGTCAAATGAGGTGGAGGAGAGGAAGGCATTGTTAGTGGTAGGCGGGACCCACCAGCGGAAGTAGGTCACCCAAAGAGCTGGGCCAGAGATTAGCTAGTAAGTTGTAGAGATTTCTTCTGTACCAAGATTCCATCATGTTGCTGTATCTGACAAGCAATTAAGCAAGATATTTTATACATGTGTGTAATTCATCATCTGCAGTATTCCTTGGTTGAGTGGTGTCATCTAATGGCGATGTTAAGGTTGTGTGGCAATCGTTTGGCCAGGGCTCAAGATATTCTGTAGCTGCCTGATTTTTGTTGTATGGTGATAGTTCTTGCTAATATTGCTGCTTCCAAGCACATGCATCTGGGCCAATAATTTTCGAGACCTATTAGTTTCGCTTCACTGAACTTCTTGATGTGTCTCCCTGCTGCTCTATGCTGAACGCAGATGTTAAATAAGAACAAAGAAACAATGACACCAGCAAGGCTAGCGTATACACCATACCTTGCGAAGGTTGCGACAAAAAGTACGCAGGCGAAACATCAAGAACAACTGAACTCAGACATCACGAACACAGAAACGCTTGAAGACAGGATGATCAAATTAACGTCTGTGTTCAGCACTGAACAGCAGAGGAACACGTTCAACATAGAACAATAGAGAGACACTTTCAATATAGAGCAGCAGAGGGATACATTATGAATCGTAATAAAGGCAGAATTCCTTCACTGTAGCTATAGTAAAATGTTACATTAGTTACACATGTGTCCTTGTACCTAACATACACATGATGGTCAACGAAGCGAAATTCATAGTTCCCTAAAAATCTTTTGCCCAGACGCAGGTGTCTGGAAGCGGAACTGATAGCCAACACCTTGCCACAGAAGTCCAGCAGCTACAGAACATCCAGAACTCTGGCCCAGTGATTGTTACACAACATTAACACTGCCAGTAGATGACACCACTGCAGCAAGAAACACTGCAAGAGGGCTGTCAGCCTCGCTTTTTTTACCATCTCTTTATCAGGATTGAAGAAGTCACTAGGGCGAAACGTCTCCTTAATATATGTCTTGATCAGTACATATGCGTCTTTTACCTACAACATGCAACAACAATTGCATAATCAAATTCTCAAAATTAGTTTGTTCCCATTGAATGAGGGGGAAAAATGTCTGCATCTTAGATATCTTTAACAATAAAATCATTAGGTCGTGTTATAGGTTACATTATCTCCATACAGCATTTGTTTGATCTTGTTGCTGCAGTGTATGAATACAGTATCAGGATTGCACATATTAGCCAATGAAATAGTTCGTCATATTTAAGGACACAGTTTCTCTAGTGTGTGGTCCTGTCTCTATATAGTTTATTTCGTATGACTGAGATTTCCGAACAAACCTAACTGTTAAAGTTACTCCGTATTATCAATGGTGTACAATACCGACAAGTTGATGGCTAATACATGTTCAACACGAGGTATTTTAATTGGCGAAACGTTCCGCTTGGGTTGCAGAATTCATCAGTCCAATACGGAGATGAATCATGGAGACATTAGATGAAGTGGAGAGGTAGCCTAAGACTTAGGCTTAGCGACTGATTGTGTTCCATGAACTCTGAGAGACATACTTACCTCAGACTACCTCTCCACTTAGTCTACTCTCTTCAAGATGGTAATTCATCTCTACAGTCGACTGATGAAGCTTGCAGTGTTGAACATGTGTCCTACAGAAGCAACATTTCAGTCTAGTTTTAGTATACAATATCTCTTAGTATACTGACCTCTGCCTCCAGTTCCTGTTCCTGTTACCAGAGCGGCGGTACTGGAACCTGGTGTGAGAGTCCCTCATGGAGCGCTGGTACCGCTTCATCTTCACCCAGCTTCTGCCGGCGGCGTCGAAGGTACACCACACCGTGATCACCACAGACACCATCACGCACCAGTTGCACACCACAATACCTGGGGTGCGGGTGAGTGGGAGAGAGTGATTAGTGATGAACGCCTGACTTAACCCAGCCACTCAAAACCCTTACGTCGCGAAAACCACGCATTTATGCGACGGTTAGCAGGTTCGAGTCCTGCTGTGGACGCAGAGACAATGTTTATATATATATATATATATATATATATATATATATATATATATATATATATATATATATATATATATATATATATATATATATATATATATAATATATATATATATATGTCGTGCCGAATAGGCAGAACTTGCGATCTTGGCTTAAATAGCAACACTCATCTTGCCATATAGGACAAGTGAAAATTTGTGTATGCAATAATTTCGCCAAAATCATTCTGAACCTAACGAAAAAAATATATTTCACTGTGTTTGTTTAGTATTAAATTATTGTAAACAAATCTAAAATATATTTAGTTGGGTTAGGCTAAAATTAATTGTTCTTGTTATAATAAGGTTAGGTAAGTTTTCTAAGATTCTTTTGGTGTAAAATTAAAAGTTTTTACATTAACATTAATGAAAAAAATATATCTTTGAACGCATAAGAGAAAATTTTAGAAAAGACTTAATTTTAAATGAGTTCTTGCTAATTGACCAGTTTTACATATTCGGCACGACATATATATATATATATATATATTATATATATATATATATATATATATATATGTATATATATATATATATATATATATATATATATATATATATATATATATATATATATATATATATATATATATATTCATAACGATAATTTCTAAAGGGGGTGGACCGGTAAACCAGCGGAAGACCTCAGTCAAATAGCCAAAAGCTGTAGCTGCGGGTCATTATATGACCAAGACCCTCGTCAGGAAGCACTTGTCCTGTTTCCTGACAAACCTTACCTAACCTAAGCCCAAAAATGCAACACTACCACATCAAAATTCATTAGGTCATCCATTACATAAACCAAACATACATGAACTTGACCACTTCGAACGTCCGAGCAGCGTTTTTACTTAATATGTCTCAAGTCTATGCTAATCGCTGATATTTTCAATTATTTAATAATTTTGTTAATGTCCCAATTAGCCTATAGTAAATTTGAGCTTAATTAGGCTGCGTCAGATAAGAGCCTAAGAAATGTGTTCATTCAGAGATCATATTTAAATAAACTTAAGCCATTTCTCGGAGCATCTGTTGTTCTTGACCTTATTTACGACACTCTTAAGTATCAAGGCGTCCTTTATATGTAAGTACCTCATAACGTGTTCTTTGTGTGTACGCACCTAGCATGGCGTCCTTGATGTGTGTACGTACCTAGCATGGCGTTCTTGATGTGTGTACGTACTTAGCATGGCATCCTTGATGTACGTATGTACGTACCTAGCATGGCGTACTTGATGTGTACGTACCTAGCTTGGCATCCTTGATGTGTGTACGTACCTAGAATGGCATCATTGATGTGTGTACGTACCTAGTATGGCGTCCTTGATGTATGTATGTACGTACCTAGCATGGAGTACTTGATGTGTACGTTCCTAGCATGGCATTCTTGATGTGTGTACGTACCTAGCATGGCGTACTTGATGTGTACGTACCTAGCATGGCATCCTTGATGTGTGTACGTACCTAGAATGGCATCATTGATGTGTGTACGTACCTAGTATGGCGTCCTTGATGTATGTATGTACGTACCTAGCATGGCGTCCTTGATGTGTGTACGTACCTAGCATGGTATCCTTGATGTATGTATGTACGAACCTAGCATGGAGTACTTGATGTGTACGTACCTAGCATGGCATCATTGATGTGTGTACGTACCTAGAATGACATCATTGATGTGTATACCTACCTAGTATGGTGTCCTTTATGTTTGTATGTACGTACCTAGCATGGCGTCCTTGATGTTTGTATGTACGTATCTAACATGGCGTCCTTGATGTGTGTAAGTACCTAGCATGGCGTCCTTGATGTATGTATGTACGTACCTAGCATGGCGTACTTGATATGTACGTACCTAGCAGTGCATCCTTGATGTGTGTACGTACCTAGAATGGCATCATTGATGTGTGTACGTACCTAGTATGGCGTCCTTGGCAGTCTTGGAGGTACAAGTCTGGTAGTGCTGACTAAGCCACACCACGCCCAGCACCACCCACACCAGCTCTGCCACCAGCACCGCTGTCAAACATCATCACACCCTCAGTCACAATGTTAGTAGCACAGCAGTAAAAATAATTGTATCAGGTAGTAGTCGTCGTAGTAGTACCAGTAGTAGTCGCAGTAGTACCAGTAGTAGTCGTAGCAGTACCAGTAGTGCTCGTCGTAATAGTAGTAGTACCAGTAGTAGTCGTAGCAGTACCAGTAGTAGTCGTAGTAGTACCAGTAGTGGTCGTCGTAGTAGTAGTAGTAGTACCAGTAGTAGTAGTACCAGTAGTAGTCGTCGTAGTAGTCGTACCAGTAATAATCGTCTTAGTAGTAGTACCAGTAGTAGTCGTCGTAGTAGCAGTACCAGTAATAATCGTCGTAGTAGTAGTACCAGTAGTAGTCGTCGTATTAGTAGTACCAGTAATAATCGTCGTAGTAGTAGTACCAGTAGTAGTCGTCGTAGTAGTAGTACCAGCAATAATCGTCGTAGTAGTAGTACCAGTAGTAGTCGTCGTAGTAACAGTAGTAGTCGTCTTCGTTGTAGTAGTACCAGTAGTAGTCGTCGTAGTACGAGTACTCGTCGTCGTAGTAGTCGTACCAGTAATAATCGTCTTAGTAGTAGTACCAGTAGCAGTCGTCGTAGTAGTAGTACCAGTAATAATCGTCGTAGTAGTAGTACCAGTAGTAGTCGTCGTAGTAGTACCAGTAGTCGTAGTAATACCAGTAGTAGTCGTCGTAGTAATAGTAGTAGTCGTCGTCGTAGTAGTAACAGCAGTAGTCGTCATCGTCGTAGTACCAGTAGTAGTCGTCGTAGTGTAGTCCTAGTAGTTGTCGTCGTAGTGCCAGTAGTAGTAGTCGTAGTAGTTGTACCAGTACTAGTCGTCGTAGCAGTAGTACCAGTAGTAGTCATCGTCGTAGTAGTACCAGTAGTAGTCGTCGTAGTGCCAGTACTGGTTGTCGCAGTAGTAGTAGTACCATTAGTAGTCGTCGCTGTAGTAGTACCAGTAGTAGTCGTCGTGGTAATAGTACCAGTGGCAATCGTTGTAGGAGTATCAGTAGTAGTTATCGTAGTACCAGTCATCGTAATAGTACCAGTAGCAGTCGTAGTAGTATCAGAAGAAGTCGTAGTAGTATCAGTAATAGTCGTAGTAGTACCAGTAGTAGTTGTCGTAGTAGTACCAGTAGTAGTCATCGTAGAAGTACCAAATAGTAACGGTAGTAGTCGTAGTACCAGCAGTCGTTGTAATACCAGCAGAAGCAGTCATAGTAGTACCTGTGGTAATCGTCGTATTAGTACCAGTAGTAATCATCGTAGTAGTAGTCGTGGTAGTACAAGTAGTAGTCGTCGTAGTAGTAGTATTATTCGTCGTAGTAGTACCAGTTATAGCCGTTGTAGCAGTACCAGTAGCAGTCGTCGTAGTAGCAAAACTATTCGCCGTCGTAGTAACAGTAGTATTACCAATAGTCGTCGTAGTAGTACCAGTAGTCGTCGTAGTAGTACCAGTAGCAGTCGTTGTAGAAGTAATAGTTACAGTAAAAGTTCACAACAAATTTAGAAACTTGAAAATTGAGGTGTCGGTCAGTCATCCATCAGGAGAGAGGGAAATTTGAGAGTGAATTCTATATGCACTAGGATGGAAGGACGGGTACTAGCACACCATTCATTAAATAACTTTCCTGCAGGCATCTCCCCTTCAAATGTAATATATAACCATGACAGGTTATTGAACGTAATGAAGAGTTTTTACGAGGATAGTGAGGGTCAGGTTAAAGTATGTAAGAGAGAGAGAGATTATCTCCCAGTAAAGGTTGGCCTTAGACAAGGATATGTGATGTCATCGTGGTTGTTCAATATATTTATAAATGAGGTTGTAAGAGAAGTAAATGCTCGGGTGATGACAAGAGGTGTGGGGGTTAAAAGATAAAGAATCTAACACAAAGTGGGAGTCGTCACAGTTGCTCTTTGCTGATGACACTGTGTTTTTGGGAGATTCTGAAGAGAAGTTGCAGAGGTTGGTGGATGAATTTGGTAGGGTATGTAAAAGAAGAAAATTAAAAGTGAATATAGGAGAGAGTAAGGTGATGAGGATAACAAAACAATTAGGTAACGAAAGACTGGATATCAAATTGGAGGGAGAGAGTGTGGAGGAGGTGAATGTATTCAGATATTTTGGAGTGAAGGTGAATCACAGAACTAACAAGGGGAAAAAGCTGAGTGGTGCACTGAGGAGTCTGTGGAGACAAAGAACTTTATCCATGGAAGCAAAGAGGGGAATATATGAAAGTATAGTTATATCAATGCTCTTAAATGGGTGTGAAGCATGGGTGGTGAATGTTGCAACAAGGAGAAGGCTGGAGGCAATGGAGTTGTCTTATCTGAGGGCATTGTGTGGTGTGAATATAATGCAGAGAATTCGTAATTTGGAAATTAGTAGGAGGTGCGGGATTACCAAAACTATTATCCAGAGAGCTGAGGAGGGGTTGTTGAGTTGGTTCAGACATATAGAGAGGAGGAAACAAAATAGAATGACTTCGAGAGTGTATAAATCTGTAGTGGAGGGAAGGCGGGGAGGGTGGAAAGGTTTTGTGCATGCGTGAGCGTGTTAGAGAGGAGCGAAAAGAGACAAATGGTTTTTAGGACTTGACCTGCTGTTGGAGTGTAAGCAGGGTAATATTTATGAAGGGATTCGGGGAAACCTAAAGACTGGACTTGAGTCCTGGAGATGGGAAGTACAGTGCCGGCACTCTGAAGGAGGGGTGTTAATGTTGCAGTTGCTGATGAAGATGAGAAGCGAGATGACACTCCCCTCCGGGGGAGTCGCCGCAAGAGAGAAGAAGATGTTACCCTCCAGCCGGAGGGCCCAAGAAAGAAGACAGAAGAAAGAAGATGAGCGACACCCCCAACCGGGGGCCACAGCCGGGTCGCCATATGGAAAAGACCCGGGCCGGAAGTACCGGCGAATCTCTAATGAATGAATGAATGAATGTTGCAGTTTTATAACTGTAGTGTAAAGCAACCTTCTGGCAAGACACTGATGGAGTAAATGAGGGTGAAAGTTTTTTTCTTTTTCTGGCCACCCTGCCTTGGTGGGAAACGGCCGATGTGTTAATAAAAAAAATAATAAAAAAATATGATTTTTTTAAAGAGGACCGGTAAGCCAGCGGAAGGCCTCGGTCAGATTACCAAAAGCTCCAGCTCTGGGTCATCATATGACTAAGACCCGCGTCAAGAAACACTTGTCCTGTGTTTCTCAAATAATATAATTTCAAATAGGATCATTACAAACCAGCCACATTGTTTGACTATATATTGCAGTGGCCGCAATATGCGACCCATTTGCCATTTTTAGATTTTTTTTTAATTGACAAAAGCTGGGTTATCGTCATCGTGAATGTCAATGAGATGAAAAATGTATCACACAATATATATAATACTGACAAACGTATAAATAAAATAAGCACAGTTGCCACGTTAACACATTTCTATTCAGGATATTTCTGGATGTTTCTCTCACCAGGAGCCTAATCGAACATTGGAATGATAAAACTACTGGTGAGCGAAACATTGATAAACTCCCAATGAGCGAAACAGAAGAATCATAATACGATTGTACCTTTTTTTCAGGAGAATGGTGGGGGTTTGAACTTGAGGTCAAGAGTGTGCTGGTAATCTATCACGGTACTGTGATGGCTACCATGTATGTGACAGTCATATTCCAGGTGATGTCTGCAGGCGTCTCTATGTGGCACAACAACTTCATGTTTCATATAGCCAAAGCCTCACCACCAACAACCCATGTGATAAATCTAGCTCTTGTCTGTGAACCAAGAGTGGTGACTCCATGCACCCAAACTAGGGTTTACTTGCGTCACTGACACTCCAGGATGTACGCCGCTCTCAAGTTTTCCACCTTCAATGGAACCATTTGTTAAGAAATGACTAGCGCCCACCATGACCTGGCAGGATGTTCCTAAGATGACCGCACTGACTGTGATGTCAGCAGATCATCATCCCACTAAGGCTGTGCATGCATACACTCTTCATTATAAACACCATGTGAAACTTAAAACACTTTCTGCCATGTAAACAAGTCTTTAATTAACAATAATCACCTGATGACGCACTAGCTCAACCTTTTATCACTCTCTAATAACAAGAGGGTTGTCTGGGGGGTATTATTTATAGAGCAGCGGCTGTGATCCATCATATATCACGTATACTTTCATATACCACACATACTGTCATACACCAAGCATACTTTCTTACACTACACATATTATCATATATACCACACATACTGTTATATACCACGCACACTCTTATATACTGCACATCAAGTTATCAAGCTCTCAGACAACATCAAGTTATCAAGCTCTGAGACAACATCAAGTTATCAAGCTCTCAGACAACATCAAGTTATCAAGCTCTGAGACAACATCAAGTTATCAAGCTCTGAGACAACATCAAGTTATCAAGCTCTGAGACAACATCAAGTTATCAAGCTCTGAAACAACATCAAGTTATCAAGCTCTCAGACAACATCAAGTTATCAAGCTCTCAGACAACATCAAGTTATCAAGCTCTGAGACAACATCAAGTTATCAAGCTCTGAGACAACATCAAGTTATCAAGCTCTGAGACAACATCAAGTTATCAAGCTCTGAGACAACATCAAGTTATCAAGCTCTGAGACAACATCAAGTTATCAAGCTCTCAGACAACATCAAGTTATCAAGCTCTGAAACAACATCAAGTTATCAAGCTCTCAGACAACATCAAGTTATCAAGCTCTGAGACAACATCAAGTTATCAAGCTCTGAGACAACATCAAGTTATCAAGCTCTGAGACAACATCAAGTTATCAAGCTCTATCATAACTTAATGTTATCAAGCTCACATTGTCACGACATAAGCTCACATACAACATCAGAAGAGATGTCATCTAATCTCTAGAATTATGCAGTCGACCAGTTGAGCCAATAATCCTGAAGTATAACCTTTCATCAATAACAAAACACAACCCAGGCACTGA